AAGGGCACCACGACGGGCGCCACGGAAGGGAAAACCGCCAGGCGCCCCGAGCGCGCGGCGGGCAGAAATTAGGGTTTCGCCGCCGCGCACCACGGGGCGCGCGGCGGACAGTACGGCAGCGGAAGCGGGTGGTGGGCCCATACACAGGAAGGCGGCAGACATGCCGCCCTCTGATACCATGTCAGAAGTAGTAGGAGTACGGCCTAGGCTTAGTAGCCTAGGCCACAGTAGGACTAGTAACGAGGAGCCAAGTACGAGCTAGGATTGTGTGCAGGAACAGAATTGAGAAGGAATGATTGAACTAGCAAGCAGCAGGATACAAATAGCAAACCCTAAGGGGCTGTACTCACTATAGAGTACCCCACTGCAGGCTACACAAACAACATATTCTGACAGGCCAGCGGGGCCGTGAGGTGGCGACGGGGCCGAAGGGGGGCGCGGCTAGGGGCGACGGGGCCAACGGGGCCGTGAGGTGGCGACGGGGCCGAAGGGGCGCGGCTAGGGGCGACGGGGCCAGCGGGGCCGAAAGGGGCGCGGCTAGGGGCGACGGGGCCAGCGGGGCCGTGAGGTGGCGATGGGGCCGAAGGGGCTCGACTAGGGGCGACGGGGCCAACGGGGCCTCGGGGCGCGGTTAGGGGCGACGGGGCCAACGGGGCCGTGAGGTGGCGACGGGGCCGAAGGGGCGCGGCTAGGGGTGACGGGGCCAGCGGGGCCTTGGGGCGCGACTAGGGGCGACGGGGCCAACGGGGCCGAAGGGGCGCGGCTAGGGGCGACGGGGCCAGCGGGGCCGTGAGGTGGGGCTAGGGGCGACGGGGCCAACGGGGCCGTGGGGTGGCGCGACGGGGCCGAGGGGCCGTGAGCGACGGGGCCTAGGGGCCGTGGGGTGGCTCGACGGGCCTAAGGGGCGCGACGGGCCTAGGTGGGTTACTAGCAGCGTAGCAGGTGGTGGGCCCAAGAAACCTGCTCTGATTCCATGTTAAAGTTACACGCAAGAATGTATGAACTATGAATGAGTTGGGTACAAGTACTAACCCTAATTGGGTTGTACCCCTTATGGGCTACCCCACTACAGCCTACACAAATGTATAAACTATAATGTTCTGACATAACTATCGAAGCCAGCAGGTTTGAATTAACAAACTCTGCGGCCAACCGCCGTGTAGCCCACTTATACCAGCCACACCCGTGCCACCAAACTACCATCGAAAAGCGGGGTGAACTAGGAAAGTAGCTCTGATACCATGTGTTATGAATTGTAAAGGAGAGTGGGCAGATTAAAAAGTAACGAGAATGTGATTGAACAGACTGATGATACAATGAAGGCACACGCTAATGTAGTGGCTAGCCTAGCTAGGAGGGAACTTCGGGTGAGTGAGGTTGGGTGCAGGTTTGGCGAAGGGAAACTCCGAAGGCGACGCGAAGAGGCTCGATATCGTTGATGTCGGCCAAACGTGCAGAGTCCGAAAATCGGGGCTGTACGCGAAGCAGTCAACCCCGATACGGAATTCGGGAAAATTCCTTACAATATACATGGCACGAAGCACCCACTCCCACCTTCCTTGACCAATCATACATATATTCTTACTAATTGTGAAGGAATTTGGTATATCTTACAAGCTGTGCATTTGTAGGTTATTGGCATTTCATGTGAAGAATTGTGTGAAATGACTCTCATCATCAATCTGAGAAATCCCTTCTGTTACCTCGTCTACACAGGGACATTACCATATGGTACATTATATATAGTGAACTACTTTATTGTTCTAATATCTATGTTGCTAGACAACAGGCAGTTGGTGTGTGGCATAAAGTTCACTCTTATCGGGTCATCAATTGTCCTCCGATGTGCCAATGGAATCCCGCCTCACCAATCAGTTGTCCTCCTGACCGTTGTTGACGGGCATTGCAACGCAGGCACGCCCTCCCCTTGTTGTCGTGCTACGTGGTTACATTTCGTTATCAGAAAACATGTTCGTCGTTTGCGTCGTTTGCCATTCGCAAGGACCGAAGCTCCAGTTGCGAAATCGGGGCCAGGTGGCTTCTGTTGTTTGTTGGTGTTTTTGTTTTGTGTCAGAAAGGAGGGAAACACTAATCGTCGTTTCGAAGTTTGTTGAACATTTCCACTTCGAAGTGTTGTTTCTAAGTTCCACTTTGTGATATTACCCTACTGGTTTCAACTCGACTCATGTTTTCGAGGCCACAACGAGCTGTGTATGGATCTAGTCAAGGATACCACAAATCATGAGCGGGAATTTGCCACACTGAACTGAAATCTGTGCCTGTCCTTGTCCGGACACCCCCCAGGAACGCATCTCAGTCACCGTGCTAGGGAAGGAGAGTGTCCATTATAGTAAGTCGCTTACCGCAACCATTTGCCGTGAAATCACCAACTCCTCGTGACGTGCACTGAGCGTCTGTCACTGAAGCTGGAGAGCTCTTCCGTTGCTGCTACATTGTATTTAGAAGACACCGATAGATCGAGAGATCGTCCGTCGCAGGATCTCACAGGCGGCCCAAAGCGTGCGCACACGCCATCGCGGGTGCCAATCCCGCTAATTCGGAGCTGCATTGGGGTAATGCGACTTGCAGTGAGCTTTTTCTTGAGTATAGAGAGACCGTCTTAGGAAAACACGAGCGTCTTTGAGCTGCTTCGGAGCTGCATCGCCTTCTCGTGGTCGCTGTTAGCACCTGAACTTGCTGAAATCTGACCTGTACGCCTTAGGCATGCAAATTTTATCGAGTATTTTGGACAACGGGAGATGACGACACCTGCGAAGACAAAACCCGTGGCTGTAGGCAGCGTGCGGAGCTACGTACTCGTACTCTTCGCCACGTGCATCGCCGTCGCGATCTGCTCCAAGATTATCGCATCAGACTTTCGCGCGACCCTGCCGCCTATTCCTCTGGGAGTGTCGGGATTAGGTTCTAAAGGCCGCGATGATAGGAGGAGAGTGGGCGGAGCGGTAGCAATTGAGACGGAAAAGAAGGAAGGGAGAGGGGTTACTGGAGTTAAAGCTTCAACTGCCGGTCAATCTCAATCGTTGATCCCGGGGTCCAGACTTGCTACTGTAGCCGAGGTCAAGAGATTTGAAAGAAGATTTGACTGTCTGGCGTCTCAAGGGCAGTGGGTGTATGACCCTAGGCCAAGATACTTACCATGGTGGGAAGAAAAAATAGATGGGTACTCGTCCTGTGACTACTGGTGGATTACAGAGGCCCAAAAAAACATTTCCGGGCAGAATAATTCTCCTGGGCCAGCAGCATTTCGGAACATCGCGTATGACACTGCGGATGGAGTGGCTAGGAGGAGGGGGGGCAAAGCGGTGTGGCAGGTTCGGCCGAGCGTGAAGTACCGGTGGCTGTTGCCGAATCAGAAAGGGGGTGACAGTTCAGGAGAGGAGGGGGGAGGAGGAAGAGGAATGGAGGAGTGCGGGGGAAGCGAGTGGTGGGGGGAAGTGGACTGCGCGCGGTTGAAAGCAGGGCTTGTTCCAAACGGAGGGAAGATCATGATAGTGGGAGATTCGATAAACTTACAAGTATTCGAGGCGTTTAGGAATCTTATGAATATGTGCCAGAAGAAGTGTGTCTTCGATATGTGGACGAAGTGGTATGCTGAAAGGAGGCAGCAGAGGCGGCAGAGGCGGCAGGAGGCGCAGCAGCGACAGCAGGCGGCGCAGCAACAGCATTCACAGTGGCAACAGATGCAAGTTCCAGGAAACCAACAGCAGGGGGTGCAGCAGACGCAGCAGGGGGTGCAGCAGATGCAGCAGGGAGCGCAGCAGGGGCAGCAGGGGCAGCAGGGGGTGCAGCAGGGGCATCAGGGGGCGCAGCAAAAGCAGCCACGGCGGCAACAGCTGCAAGCGCGAGAAAACCAACAGCAGAAGCAGGAAGCGGTGCAGGAGGAATTTCAGGAGAGTAAACAGGAGGGCGAATTGGAGGGCAAACAGGAGGCGCAGCAGGAGCAGCAGCAGGAGAATGAGCAGCAGGAGCAGCAGCAGGAGTTGATGCAGTACCAGCAGCAGCGGCAGCAACTAGAAGAAAAAATAAAGCAGGAATGCCCTGGAGTAGAGAGACTTGGACAGGAGACCTGTGCGGAGCATCGAAAGATTCGTGAGATCAGCTGGCAGTGCACGGAAACGCGATACGGGAACACCACAATACTGTACATACGGAATGACCTCCTAAACACTTCAAATGACTACCTCATTCAGAAGCCGCGCTGCATCAACACCCCATGGATGAGGACGCTCAAGCAGGATCGCAACGTGGCAGTGCTTCTACTGAATCGTGGAGCGCACTATGAAGAGAATGAGGTTTTCATTCCTGAGCTCAATGCTACACTCCACGAAGTTAGAGATGCTGCACCGAACACGCTTGTGGTTTACCGGAGCACGCCGGGAGGCCATCCCAACTGCACAAGAGAAATTACAGATCCTTACAAGGACCCCCCGGACATGAGCTCTTATCCCTACCACTATGGCGATTTTCACGAACAAAACATGATTTCGAAGCAATTGGTGAAGGAAATTGGAGGGGTTTTCATGGATGTTACGAGGATGACAGAGATGAGACCTGATGGACATGTGGGCCCTCCTAAGGATTGTCTGCATTATTGTTCCCCTGGGCCTATAGACACATGGGTTAGCATGTTATACAACATGCTTACACAGTTGCTGTAGACTGCATTTATAGATTCTCATTGCCATCCATGTACATCATGCAGATTGCATAAGTGGCATCACCTTTTACGGAATAGATTCGGACCATTTGATATTGCTCGACATTCACCCTGGTGCGTATCCCATCCGCTCTTCACGAAAATTTGAAAGGGTGTCAATTTCGCCTTCAGCATTCCCAAGGTGTGTTCGGACGCCACATTTCCCAGTTGCCTAAGTTTCTCTGCTCCCTGGACTTGAGCTGTCGTTTGATTCAGCTCCGCTTTTCCCTACTGCTTCATCTCGCATCCGCGCATTCCCTAAAGCAGCCTTTCACGGGTTCACATGACCCTGTGTCCCTTCATTCGAGGGAGCTGTCTCGCTGCTCGTTCGATCGACGTTCCTGCTCTCCGCATCTCCGCCCGTCGTCATTTATCCGTTAGCCTCTCGCGCTTGCAGCAAACTCCGGAGATCTTTCTCAGCTTTCAGTCCGATCCCAGCGCTGCCGCTCTTAGTATTCGATCTCCAAAAGCTCTCAACAAGAAACGTTTAAGGTCGGATTGTCTCGGCGTCCCGCACGTCAGGCGAAATTTGCAAGGTTCGCGAACAGTAACAGCAGCAGCAGTAAAGGCGGCGGCATCAGCGGCAACACCGGGTACACTTTCTGACCGTTCAGCTGTGTCACAGGTGGTCACGGATTTACCGGCTCTAGTGGTTACATGTGTCTGAGCAGTCGAGGAACCTAACATTGGTAACAGCGATGTGTGTCACCTAGCAGGGGATGTCTTGAAGATCCTGGTCCGTGCGTCGACTTGAAGCAGGGAACTCCTGGTCCATGCGTCGTAGCTTTCGAGTCGAGTCAAGAGTGTTTTGGAGATCCTGTTTCATGCGCACCATTTCGAATTTTTCTTTCGACACAAGCTGGCGCTGACGTGTCTTCCTTCTTCCAACAATTTCTGCATAAGATTGCCTGCTTTTTCTGATACTGGTACATCGCATTTAGTAAAGTAAGGTTTCCGTATTGTTATCCTATTTTTCTTCTCTGGGGTTGCTCTGACGGGGTTACTTCGTAACAGGTGAAGCAAATCTGCAGGGAGTGTCGGCAGAAGCTATGGAGCAGCAGGGCATCCTCGTCTACGGTGCCACAGGTATTGTGTGACGTGTGCCACGTGTGACTTGTGCCACAGATAACGTATGCTACACTGTGACATGTGCTGCGGATGTATGCTACATGTGACGTGTTCTCTAGGGAACGTGTGCTACAGGTGGGATGTGTGCTTGAGTTGTCAGTTTATTAGTATGACGTGTGTGTGTTAGATGTGATGTGTGCGTGCTACAGTTGTAAAGCATTCTCCGGTGTTCCCTCTCACGCTCTCCAGACACCAATGGCACGCTCATTGCTCTGAAGATCAAGGAAGTAGGCCTTCCAGCCACTCCTCTCTCTCTCCTGGTTCTCCCTGTTCTTTCCCTTGCGTCTTCTCTTTCCCCCCTTCTCCAGGCACCACTGGCACGCTCATAGCTCAGAAGATCAAGGAGGTGGGCCTTCCAGCCACTCTCGCCGGGAGAAATCTGCAGAAGCTACAGTAAGATGTTTGAGAATTTCGGTTTTTGTACAGTACCTACCTACCTTCGCTAACAGACAAGATGTTGCAGACTTCCTGCTTCTTCTCCTTCTGCTCTCTTCGGTTAAACATGTTTTGGGACCGCTCAGAACTTGCTACCATGCTCTGCCCTGCCCCTGCTTCTTCCTGCATGCACCTCTCTTCTCACTTGTCCAGGCGCCCCAGCTCCCGTCCCCCTTCCATTCCCCTCTATTCTTCCTGCTTTCCTGGCCGTCCAGGTCTATAGGCAAGGCTGTGGATCTTCCTGCAGCAGCAGTGGACGCGAACGTTGTTTGAGTAGACTCCTGAATTTCCGTTCTCCCTCTCTTCCTCCCCTGTCGATAGGCAAGGCTGTGGATCCGCCCGTAGCAGCAGTGGACTTGAACGATGTTCAAACCTACTCCCCAACCATCCCCCATCATTTCCATCCATCTCTCTTGCTCCCCAGGTCGATTGGCAAGGCAGTGGACCTGCCCGTAGCAGCGGTGGACTTGAACGATACGCAAGGACTGGTGGAGCTGGTGGGGAAGCACAAGGTGGTGCTGCACGTGGCTGGGGTGAGTGGTGTGTTTCCTCTTTTAGTTGTATTGCGGTTAGTGCGGAGAGCTGTTTCTGAGTCGACTCAAGGGTAGGGACGCGCAAGGGTTGGTGGAGCTGGTGGGGAAGCACAAGGTGGTGCTGCATTTGGCTGGGGTGAGTGGTGCCTTGGCTGGGGCGAGTGATGAATTCTGCTGGGATAGGTGCAGAGAGCTGCTTCTGAATCGACTCAAGGGTAGCGATGTGCAAAGGCTGGTGGAGCTGGTGGGGAAGCACACGGTGGTGCTGCACAGCACGTGGCTGGGGTGAGTGATGGGAGAGCTGTTGTGTTGATTGTACGGAGCTGTTGTGGTGATTCGACTCAATAGTAACTCGAGTGAGAATCATGGCACGCAAGTGCTGGTGGAGCTGGTGGGGTGGGGAAGCACACGGTGGTGCTGCATGTGGCTAGGGTGAGTGGTGCACGTGGCCGGGGTGAGTGGTGCACGCGGCTGGGGTGGGTGGTGCACGTGGCTGGGGTGAATGCTGGGAAAGCTGTGGATGGGTAGAAGTTGCAACAGTAGCAGTTTGAAAAACTGATCCAGCAGCTGCAACAGAAGCCATTGCAGCTGCTGGAGCAACACGAGCCGTCGCAGCAGGAGCAGGAGGGAGGAGGTCAAAAGGTTAAGAAGCAGCGAGCCAAAAAAACGCGGGGAAAGAAGTTGCAGCAAGCGGGTGAGCACCAAGAGGGTGAGCCGCAGGAGGATGAACAACAGAAGGGTGGGCAGCAGGAGGAGGGTGGGCTGAGCAGCGGGAGCAGTGCTTCTTTCCTCGCTGCTTCTTCCCGTTCTGCTTCGTGAAACAGAAAGCCCTGCTCCTGCTGCTCACCCTGCAGCTGCCCACCCTCCTCCTGCTGCCCACCCTTCTGTTGCTCATCCTCCTGCGGTTCACCCTCTTGTTGCTCACCCGCTTGCTGCAACTTCTTTCCCTGCGTTTTTTTGGCTCGCTGCTTCTTAACCTTTTGACCTCCTCCTTGCTGCTCCTGCTGCAACGGCTCGTGTTGCTCCAGTAGTTGCAATGGCTACTGTTGCAGCTTCTGCTCGTTGTCAGCAACATCTGCTATTATCCACAGCACTTTACAATCACTTCGAAGCCCTTAATTGAAACTTGCATCAGCACCGGCACCCACTACCTTGATCGATAGCATTGAGAATCGGCTTTTGAGTTGACTCAAGTTCAAGAGTCTCTTCTGTGTTTCCCCGCGCATTGTGTCACAGCCCTTTACAATCACGTCCAAGCCCATGATTGAGGCGTGCATCAGCGCTGGCACCCACTACCTCGATGTCACTGGGGAGTTCAAGGTGCGCCCTCATGACACTTAGTTAAGAATATTTTATTGATTGGGTGTGGAGCTGTTTGACTGCTGGTACCTGATAAGATTCCAAAAACGCAGAGAGCTAGTGTTTTTTCTATTAAAGTGTTTTCATGTTTGCGGACCTGTATTGGCTTGTCTCTGCTGCACATCGCATGGCATGGGGTTCATGACATAAACGTTAATGAATGGATGGCATGGCATGGTATGGCAGGTGATGGAGCATGCACGCACATACGATGCCACAGCCAAGGAAAAGGGCATCATGATTCTCCCTGCTGTCGGCTTTGACGTTATTCCGGGAGGTATGCTGGTCATGGTGCTGACAATCCAGGTGGTGTGATTCGACTCAATTCAAGTTGTGAGGTCAGAAAGCTGCTCTCTGTTTCTAGTTTTCGAATGCTCTCCCCTCCTCTCCCTCGTCTCCCACATCCTGTCTTCACCTCCCGACCCAACAACGTCAACGCCCAGACTGCCTGGCAGGGTACCTTAAGGCCAATCTCCCTTGAGCAACAATCAGTAAATCACGTCCACTCTTCCACCTTCTGTTCATCCCTTTCCTTCCCAATTTTTAAACCACCAGACTCCCTAGCAGGGTACCGCAAGGGCAAGCTCCCTTCAACAACATGATTGAATCTCGTCCATAATCCTACGACCTGTTTACCCCTCCCTTTTTCTCCCCTCCCTCCCCCACTACTAACATCAATGCCCAGACTGCCTGGCAGGGTACCTCAAGGCTAAGCTGCCTTCAGCAACGGAGCTTCACCTCGCCACTTTCTTTTCCACCACTGCTCCTGTGAGTCTCTGTGTGTGTGGGGGGGGAGACTGTGTGAGTGTAAGTGTGAGTGTATGTGTGGGCCTGTGTGTGTGTGTGTGTGTGTGTGTGTGTGTGTGTGAGTATGTACACAGCAATTGCCCTGTGGGCGTGAGGATGTCTACCCCACCCAGCACCTGATGTTCTGGCGGCCAGTGTGAACATGCCATCTCACTCACGGTATCGGCACCAAAAACATTCTGCCTATGGTGTGGAGGAGACTTGCGGTTGTTGACTTTCTCCTTCCCATGCCCGTCCCCTCCTGCGCCATCTGCTAGGGCGAGGACCCTCTGTCCAAACCGCCCAACGCCCTGCCCTCCCACGGCACGCTGATTTCGGGTGACATGCCAAGCACATTCTGACTCTGGGGAAGAGGGGGACTTATTGCTTCTGTCTTTCTCCCTCCCCAAACCTTTTCTTTGTGTCCATCCATGTCAGGGCGAGGACCCTTTGTCCACCCCACCCAACGCCCTGCCGTCCCACGGCACGCTGATATCGGGCGCGAAGCACATTCTGACGCTGGGAGGGCTGGACTTATTGCTGCTGTCTTTCTTTCTCCATTACCCTTCCATCATTTGTGCCAGGGCGAGGACCCTCTGTCCAAACCACCCAACGCCCTGCCATCCCACGGCACGCTGATCTCGGGCGCCAAGCACATTCTGCCCATTGGAGGGCTGGTGCGCAGGAATGGAGCTATTGTGAAGGAGGCTATTGCGAAATAGTGAGTGCAGCTGGGAATGGGAAGGACCGTATTGAGACGTCTCAAAACTGGGAATGGGAAGGATGGTATTGCAATCAAAGTAGTGGGTGTGTTCTTGTGTGAAGCACAACCTCTGTCCACAGGCTTGTTTCTGTGCCTTTCTCTCCCCTCACCCCTCCCCTTCCCCAGTGGTCGCTCCTTCCTCATTCGCAAGAAGCTCCCCCCTCTCACCATGTCCTTCCCAGCAGCTGAGATTTTCAACACCTCTCTCTCCACACCTCCTTTCTGATCCAGCAGCCTCTGTGCCACTCTTTTTCATCCATAATGCCCCCCTCCCCTCCACAGTGGGCGCTCCTTCCTCATATGCAAGGAGCTTCCGCCTCTCTCCACCATGTCCTTCCCAGCAGCTTATCTCCTGTCCCATCTCCTCCCACTCCCCTCCCTTCCCTCCCACTATTCAGTGGTCGCTCCTCCCTCATTCGCAAGGAGCTTCCGCCTCTCTCCACCATGTCCTTCCCAGCAGCTGAGCTTGTCAGCACCTCCCCCTCCACCTCCCTTTGGATTCAACAGCCTTGCTTCTGTGCCTCTCTCTCCCTTCACTCCCCTTTACCCCCCCCCCCCCCCCCCCCCTCCACCCCTCCCAGTGGTCGCTCCTTCCTCATTCGCAAGGAGCTTCCGCCTCTCTCCACCATGTCCTTCCCAGCAGCTGAGCTCTTCAGCACCTCCCTCTCCACCTCCATCCCCAACATCACCGTCTACGTGCCAGGTGAGGTGCTCCTCTCCCTCCCTCTCACTCTCCTCACATTTCTCTCTTTCCAGTCGTCCCCCCTCACACACCCGTACCAACCAGCATGGCCTCCTGGATGACATCACTGTTCATATGCATCGTTCTGTTCGTCCTCGTATTCTTCCTCTCATCTTTTCTCTCCACACATTTTTCTCTTTTCACTTCTCTCTCCTCCCTCTTTTTTCCCCCTCTTAATCACACACACCAGGTAAATCCTCCTGGATAACGTCACTGTTCATCCGCATCATTCAGTTCGCCGCCCGGGTCTGGCCCTTCACCGTCCTCCTCGAGAAAGCCATCCGAATGCTGCCCACCCCAGACACCACCCCGGTAGGCATCTTCCTAGTTAGTGCTTCCACATTCTCTGATGCTCCACCATCCACTGGTGCTTCAGCATCCTATAGTGGTGCTTCAGCAGTATCCTTGTGAGGTTCTGTTTTCCCAGTAACAACTTTTGAGACGTCTCAAAAGTTTTCCCAGTAACAAGAGCGCGGGGCCTGCGTGGAGCAGCCCCCTGCGTCTGGCCCTCACATCTGCTGCAGGGTCACAGGGTTAACATGCGCATGGCATGTACGGGGGAGGAGGAAGACACGGCCAGCAACAAGAGCCACATGCTGTGCCATGCCATGTTGACCCACCTACTCATTCCTGCTGCTTCTCCTTTCATCCCACCCCCCTCCTCATCGTGCTGCAGGGTCACAGGGTTAACATGGGCATGGCATGTACGGGGGAGGAGGAAGACACGGCCAGCAACAAGAGCCACATGCTGTGCCATGCCATGTTGACCCACCTACTCGTTCCTGCTGCTTCTCCTTTCATCCCACCCCCCTCCTCATTGTGCGGCAGGGTCACAGGGTTAACATGGGCATGGCATGTGCGGGGGAGGAGGAAGACACGGCCAGCAACAAGAGCCACATGCTGTGCCATGCCATGTTGACCCACCTACTCGTTCCTGCTGCTTCTCCTTTCATCCCACCCCCCTCCTCATTGTGCGGCAGGGTCACAGGGTTAACACGGGCATGGCATGTGCGGGGGAGGTGGTAGACACGGCCAGCAACAAGAGGCACAGGGCCTCTGTGATTGTCGGCGAAGGTGAGTCAGAGCAGTGGTGATATGAGTCGTGTTTTGAGTCGACTCAAAACTTGACTCATCCAACAACAAGAGGCACAGGGCCTCTGTGATCGTGGGCGAAGGTGAGTTAAAGCAATTGTGATTGTGCTTCTTGAGTCGTGATGTCTCAAAAGGGGATTGTAGGCGAAGGTGGGACAAAATAGTGGTGATTGTGCTTTGTGATGTCTCAAAAGTGTGATTGTAGGGAAAGGTGAGTCAAAACAGTGGTCTTGGTGCTGCTCCAAGAGTCTCCCTGCCTTTATGCGGACCACATTCAGGCAAGCACTGCTGTAATTGACACAAAATTATCTGTCAATCAGTAATACTCGTGATGGCATGATGCAGGGTTTTCTCGCAATTGCCCACTTTTTCCCATCTCTTGTTTGTGTGGTACCTGCAGTGTGAAAGTGGCATTGAGTGAACCCAGAGGCGCCTCTGAAGCATCCTCTTAATCGATTTCCATTTTCTCTTCTGCGTCTTCCGTCTCCTACCTCCTTTCCCTTGATTTCCTTCTGCGTCTTCAGGGTACCACCTCACAGCGAGCTGCAGTGCAGAAGCGGCACTGAGGGATGTGTTAAACGCCTCTGAAAGTTTCTCCTCCTTCCATTTCCTGCCTCCTTGCCTTTTGCGCATTTCAGGGTACCACCTCACAGCGAGCTGCCGTGCGGAAGTGGCACCGAGGGATGTGTTAGTCGCCAATTTTCTCCTCTTTCCATTTCCTTCTTTCCCTCGGGCACATTACAGGGTACCACCTCACAGCGAGCTGCAGTGCGGTAGTGGCGCCGAGGGATGTATTAGTCACCAAGTTTCCCCTCTTTCCATTTCCTGCCTCCTTTCCCTTGGCCACATTATAGGGTACCACCTCACAGCGAGCTGCAGTGCGGTAGTGGCATGGAGGGATGTATTAGACGCCTCTGAAAGTTTCTCCTCCTTCCATTTCCTGCCTCCTTGCCTTTTGCGCATTTCAGGGTACCACCTCACAGCGAGCTGCCGTGCGGAAGTGGCCCTGAGGGATGTGTTAGTCGCCAAGTTTCTCCCCTTTCCATTTCCTGTCCCGTTTCCCCTTGGGCACATTTCAGGGTACCACCTCACAGCGAGCTGCACTACGGAAGTGGCACCGAGGGATGTATTAGAAGCCAAGTTTCTCCTCTTTCCATTTCCTGCCTCCTTTCCCCTTGGGCACATTTCAGGGTACCACCTCACAGCGAGCTGCAGTGCGTAAGTGGCACCGAGGGATGTATTAGACACCTCTGAAAGTTTCTCCTCTTTCCATTTCCTGCCTCCTTTCCCCTTGGGCACATCACAGGGTACCACCTCACAGTGAGCTGCCGTGTGGAAGTGGCATGGAGGAATGTATTAGACGCCTCTGAAAGTTTCTCCTCCTTCCATTTCCTGCCTACTTGCCCTCTGCGCATTTCAGGGTACCACTTTACGGCGAGCTGCAGTGTGGAAGTGGCACGGAGGGTGTTACAAGGGGAGTTCAAGCCTGGTTACCAGGTAACACCATTGGATATACATATACCTTGTGATGTGACTAAAAGTGCGTTGGGATTGGGATCTATTATTCCACGTAGCTCCCATTCCATCTATGATCTAGACGTTTCAAGAGAGCCTTTCGCACTCAACTCACTGTTTCCTGAGTTTCATATCATCGATTCAATTGCCTTCTTCCCCCTCATATACGCCTTATTTCACTTTTCTCGAAGAAATATTCACCTTGAACTCCCCATCTCCTCGCGTCCTTATCAGCTCAACGTGTGTCTCTCTTCCGCGCGGCCCATGCAGACACCAGCCACAGCATATGGAGCTAGCCTGGTGCAGGAGATTCCAGGAGAGAGGGTGGAGATAGTGGATTTGGACTAGGGAGGGAGGTTAAGGGTTTCCTTACACCAGTCGCTGTTCTGGCGGGGCTACTCAATATTGCCCTGGACTAGGGAGTCGACTCAGAACTGTCAAAATGTTATAGTGCCTACTTTGTGTAGGCTATAGTGGGGTAGCCCATAAAGGGTACAACCCAATTAGGGTTAGTACTTCTATCCAACTCTTTCATAGTTCATTCATTCTCGTTCTAGATTCTAACATGGTTTAAGAGCAGGCTGCAGGTCCTTCCCTAGGACCGATTTGTTTTTTAGGGCCCACAACGGAGCTGCCCCACTAGCTGCCCAGCTGCCCTAACCTAACGGCGCGCCACCCTGCTGGCCGCTACGCCGCCCTTTGCAGCCCGTCGCGCTGCCCTTAGCAGCCCGCGAGCCGCCCCTGCAGCACGCTCGCCGCCCTTGCAGCCAGCGCGCCGCCCCTGCAGCCCGCTCGCTGCCCCTGCAGCCCGCTCGCCGCCCCCGCGGCCCGCTTGCCGCCCCTGCAGCCCGCTCGCCGCTCTCTTGCGGCCCGCTCGCCGCCCTTGCAGCCCGCTCGCCGCCTGCTTGCGGCCCGCTCGTCGCCCCTGCAGCCCGCTCGCCGCTAGCTTGCGGCCCGCTCGCCGCCCCTGCAGCCCGCTTGTCGCCCGCTTGCGACCTGCTCGCCGCCCTCTTGCGGCCCGCTCGCCGCCCCCTGCAGCCTGCTCGCCGCCCATTGCAGCCTGCGCGCCGCCCCTTGCAGCCCGCTCGCCGCCCCTTGCGGCCCGCTCGCCGCCCCTTGCAGCCCGCTCGCCGCCCCTTGCGGCCTGCTCGCCGCCCCTTGCAGCCCGCGCACCGCCCTCTGGCAGCCCGCTCGCTGCCCCTTTGCAGCCCGCAACCGCCCTCTGGCAGCCCGCTCGCCGCCCCTTTGCAGCCCGCCCCCCGCCCCCTTTGCAGCCCGCGTGCCCGCCCTGCTGCTTGCACCGCCCGGCTGCTGCTCGCCCTGCTGCTGGCCGCCCTAGCCGTGCGCCGCCCTGTCCTGCACTGCGCGCTTCCCTAGTGCTCGTGCGCCGCCCTTGCAGCTCTGCCCGCTATGGCTTCTCTCAGTGTACTCACCTTTGATCATGAGGGCCGTCCGATCCAGTTCGATGCGTGGCTCGACGACTTACAGCTGTACCTACTGAGCGATTCTAGAGACAGCGTTTCGTTGTTTGACCACACTTCTGCAGACTCTATCGCCCCTCCTACCACAGCTGACAGTGCGACTCGCTCACAGTGGCTTACCCGTGATGCTGCTGCTCGCTTAACCGTTCGCAACCATCTGCCGTTAGCCGAACGCGCTCACTTCGGACAGCACAGGACAGCACATGCACTGTACGACGCTGTCGTCGCTGGCTACTCCTCGCCTGCCATTGCTGCTCTAGGCCGCCTCAAACTGCCCTACCTGTTCCCCGAGCTGTCCGCCTTTGCCACAGTACAGGACCTAGTTTCCCACCTTCGCACTAGCGACGCTCGCTACCGCGTTGCCCTCCCAGCAGAGTTCCTTGACAGGAACCCGCCCCCGATGTACATCACTCTCTACTTCATAGTCACCCGCCTCCCTGACTCTCTTCGCACTGTCAGGGACCAGTTTCTCGCACTTGACCCCACAGACCTCACTGCCGACCTGCTCGAGTAGCACTTCCTTGCTGCTGAGACTAGCGTAATTGCTATAGGTGCCGCTTGTGGCACTCCTCGCACACCCTTCTTTGAAAGGTGTTCCCCCTCCCCCCTTGCCCCCTCCTACGCCTCTGCTTCTGCTGTTGACATCCTTGGTGCTGAGGATGTCGGGGTTGCTTCTGCTATTAGTGGGATGCGCCGCAGCAGCAAGGGCAAGGGTGGCAGGAGTGGTGGCGGTGGCAGCGGGGGTGGTGGCAAGGGCGGCAGTGGAGGTGGTGGAGGTAGCGGAGGTGGTGGCAACAGTGGGAGTGGGGGCGGGAGTGGGGGCTTTGGTGGCGGCGATGGTGGCAGCGGTGGGGGTGGCGATAGTGGCGGCAGTGGGAGTGGTGGCAGTCGGGTTGGAGCTATTCAGAGGGGAGATTCTGGCAGTGGCCAGAGGCAGCAGTAGCAGCATCGGAGCGAGACCCCTACGCCCCAGCAGCTTCGTGGGTGGTTTGCTCAGCGTGCGACGTCTGGGGGAGGTGTTCGCTACCCGTATGTCCTTCGCACAGGTGACCGCGTTGGTCAGACATGCGGGAAGTTTCACACACACCACCGCTGCTTCTCCCGCCTTGACGACGCTTGGCGCGCAGAGTTTGGCGATGAGGGTGAGCGCCCCTGCTCGCTAGAGCTGCTAAGGTCTGGTGTTGATATCTTTGCTCTTGACTATGATGCTGTCCTTGCTGCCATGTATGTCTTGACTGTTAGTGCTGAGGGTGACTGTTACCTGTGTGTGCCGCCCAACCCAGGTATAGAGGCTGCTGCTCTAGGTGCTACTGGGTCTGCTCTCCCTGGTACTGCACTTGCTGAGGCCTTGCACACCTTTACACTTGACTCAGGTGCTTCTCGCTGTTTCTTTCGCAACAGTACCACCCTCACTCCTCTCTCTGCACCTGTACTGATCAGACTGGGTGACCCCTCAGGGGGCCCAGTTCTTGCCCGTTCCTCCACTGTTCTCCCATGTCCGGCGGTTCCGTCCAGCTCACTGTCACGTCTTCACCTCCCCTCGTTCTCTACAAACTTGGTCAGTACCGCTGCCCTCCAGGATGCGATGGTCACTACCACCACTCCTGGGGGTCAGCATGAGTCAATCTGCACGTGTACACGGACGGGCCGTCACCTGGCCACGTTCACCCGTCGGCCTGGGTCGAGTCTGTACACACTGGCTACCAAGCCTCCTCAGGTAGTTGCGTCAGCCCAAGTGTCCGTGTCAGGTCCGGTAGCACCCCCTTGATCGTGTCGCCTCCTGCCGCACCAGACTCTCATTTGGCACCACCGCCTTGGTCACCCCTCCCTGCCACGCCTTCGTGGTATGCACTCCCGCCTCCTTGTCTCTGGTCTTCCCAGGTCTCTGCCTCCCCTCCCGCCCTTGCCTGCCCCGCCCTGCCTTCCTTGCGTCGAGGGGCGGCAGCGCGCCGCTCCTCACTCCTCCTCGTTTCCCCTGACAACTGCTCCCTTGCAGACTCTCCACA